ACCTTCCAAGTTTCTGACCTTCTCCACTGAAAGCTTTGAACTTCAGTCTAGGTCTTACATATTCCTGCTCTTGATGGTCTTCCATATCTAAATTAACTTGACCTCCATGCACTAGTCGTTGAAGTTCAGCAGGAATCTCTCTTAGCAGCAGAAAAAAGAACAACAATGAGGAAACCTATAGACTAAGTTGAACAGTGAATTGTTAAAAGTGATTTGGTTTTTGCCCAACTGTTTCTTTAACATTCTATCAAAAAATAGATACACTCTTCTCTATAGCCTTGCATATATTTAAGGTGATCATATTTGTTTGGAAAAAATAAAGGACAAACCTGAAAAACAGACAAATCTGAAAGAGGTTGATAAAGATAGAAAAAGGATAATTGTTTATGTTTTTAACTTTACAAAGAAAAATTCAAGAGCAAAACCAAGAAAAACTTCATAAACATACTGTATATTCTAATAAAATTATCTAAAATCAAATAGTATATATAAATTTAACTTTAAAAAGAGAATCCTGTTTCCATATTTTTCACATAAATGTGAAAGGCTGTGCATTAACGGGTATCATTTGTACAGCAAAAATTAAATGACCAAAATAAAGGACGAAAGTTGAATTTTTGTCAAATAAATAAATCTAAAAGACAGCTTTCTGAAATAAAAGACTCTGTTTTATAATACTGCAATATGGCCACTATCTGGAAGGCAGACAGGGTCAGAACTATCTGGACCTCGAAGGAAATGCCCTTGTCCTGCCAAATGACACTGCTTGAGTGACAATTCAGAGAGCATGCCAATCCTGTTAGACTTACTGGACAGGAAGCATAACTAGTGACAGGCAATCCTGCCAATAGCCAGGTTTTGCGCCATGAAAAGCTTTATAGCTGACAAACAGAATCTTTAAACTTACTGGGCAACTAGTACAAAGTAATAGGGTTACATGTATATTAATGTATACCTATAACTACTCTCACTACTGCATGTTGGACGGGACATCGAAGGTTCACCAGAAGTTCTCGTTGAGGTTCATTTTACATAACTTCACTAGGTCCATTCTACATGGTTCCGAGACAGTCGTATTCATACCAAAAGGTTAGGTCTTTTACCGTATTAATTACGTGTTCTACCTAAATACGTTTCCGGAAGGTTCCGTATTAACGATGGACAAGAAACTTGTATTCGTTACCCTCTAGCAAAATCCTAAGATCCACCATGGGCAGGTGACCCCAAAATCTACAGCCATTGTTCTTACAAGAGTTGATTCTAAGCCTGTTCTTCCTGGTCCAGATGCCCACAGCACTGAGATAAAATCTCAACATCCATGATGGATTGAGATATATAACTGGGTATCATCAGCATGCTGATGGATGACTTCACCCATCCTCACCCAGTGGTCTCATTCAGATATTAAAAGAATATTTCTGAGGAACTCTGAGCAGTTAGAGCAGACAGGTCCTGATAATACATGAAGAGATGTCATAGTTGTTCAGCATAGTGGATTTTGCAAAAACCATAGGAAACAGACTAGCACTCAACTTGGCCATTAGCCCAGTCCCACATGCTAAGGGTTACCTTGGTACCTCAGCTCATTGAGCCAACTGGACCCAGGTCAGTACTACCACCAATGTGCAGTCAAATGTCACTGCTGCTGTTACACAAGTACTAATCACTGAGCAAGCACTTATCATCACTAGCATCCAACATCCCATTGCCTAGCAGCTCCTCCTGCTGCTGCTGCTGCCACCAAGCAATTGGTTTCCCTATCCAGTTAGTCACCTCCATCTCCAGTGTCATCTATGGCTTCCATACTGACTTTGATTACTATCAGTATATTCTACTTCCCACAAGGCTGCTTCTTGCCAACTATTCTGGAGCTCTAATTGTTCATGTTTTCACCACTACTGCTCCCAAAATCCTTAATATCCAGTAATAGCTTCAATGGCACCAGAGGTCTCTCCTTTCCTTTCACTACCATCACCTTTGTCTGTTATTAAATGCAATATATACCTATCTAAACTCTGGTACCCATCAGAAATTATTATCTTGCCTCAGCACCATTACAAAAAGCTATAAATAAGTCTCAGAAACACCAAAGGAAAAGTTGTAATCTAAGAATGACAACTAGAATGTAGTAAATTTATCAATATTACATTTTAAAATTGCATGAAGTGAGACCATAAAATAGGGAAAGCATGGACACTACAGTGTCTGGAATTATTTCCAACCTCTTTAACAGTGAGACCCATAGGAGATACCTTTTTTCTTCTCTAACCTGTTATATCCATATAGTTCTAAACTTCCAACATACATATTTCTCCATAGATGCATGGACATGCATTGCCTCTGAATGGGTGTATGTGTCTGTGCATGCATATGTGCATCTAGAATATGTGTTCCCGCTCCTTCCATTCATTGCTTCTGCATGTTTATTGATATGTGTACATTTTCTGTCTAGATATGGTCAAGGTGTCTTTATATATGTTGCATTTTTGTTTAAGCTAGCTTCTGTTCTTGTTTTATGTTATATCTGTTTGTGTATCTGGGTCTAGGTGCACTGAGAAGGGCAGGACAGGGTGCCTAGAGAAACCAGATAGGGCATCAATTCTGGAATTCTTTCCACCTCTTAATAGCAGTTCTGTCCTGGGGGGTTAAGAATTAAACATTACAGCATTCCAAGCTGCTCTCCTATATCTCCCATAGGGAATTTGGATTTTTTTTCTGGAATGTTATCTTCTTCAATTCTTTGCTAGTTCCAGGCTATTGTGTGCTTCGCTCACCACACTCAATATGTGGGTTCTATTCTCTGACAAACGTTTTAGATAATTTATTTACATAATTTATTTCCAATATTTCATTAAATTGGAAAGAACAACAAAAGATCTGGGGGATTTGAGAGAGCCATCTTTTCTGAAATGATTCTTTTTCTTGTGTCAGCAGACATGCTTAATTACAACTCCCATATTTCCTGCTGAACATAGTTTGGAGTTTATTATGCTATTCTAGCTCTAATTGTTTTTTGAAACAAAAGACATAGTTTTGAAATATTTGTAAAATTAAAAGTACTCTATCAAGATGTTTTTATAAATCACACATGCATGATTCGTACCGGTCAAATCTAGGGAATAGAATTGTTTAGCAATTATCATCTGTTTATTTGCTTTGGAAATCAAAGAAGTACTAATTGGTTGCAAATAACTTTTTCTTTCTTACATATTTATTATTTCCCTGACCTTAAAAGTTTATCCACCTCTTTGAACCTTCATATTAATGAGAACAGTCTACTTGACATTAGTGAATTGGTGCTCCAGAAATGAAATCTCTTTCCCCAAGAAATTCTTTAAAAACTTTTCTGATTCTCATAAGAATAAAGATAATCAATTCATTAAGATTGTAGCACTAGCTTTATATTTAATTTTGTAGGTAGGTAAATAGGTGACTTCTAATAGAAGGTTTTATGGAACAAATGTTTTAAACGAAGCTATTTTGACAACATCTTTTGCGTTTATCTTAACTTTTTTTAACTTACTGTAGTTATTTAAGTTTCTTTTTGCAAAAGCAAATTCTTGCTGAATCAGGAAGCTCTCTTAAATATTTCTCCAGTTTTCATAAGGCATGTGGCAAAAATATCTTGATGTAGTGCTTAAGATGCTGAACTAGAAACTAAGAAACTGTAAGTTATAGTTCACACTTAAGCATGAGACCTAGAGGACTTGCTGAATTAAAATTAGAGGTCAGTTTCTCTCAAAGGGTGGTTGTGAGGAAAATAGAATCAGGAACACTATGTGTACCCCCTTAGTGTACAAAAATAGGGAAGGACTGTACATTTCATAATAAATAATTTTTCATGGGACCTTATAGTAATTTTCCACATTGATCTCCCAACATCATTTAACACATTTGGATTTTTTTTTTAGGAAATATTCAGCAAAAAAAATTCTCTACTTTTTATTCTGAGTTTCATCTGACTTGCTTAGACAGAGCATCTACTATATCTCAGATTCATTAGCAAGTCTATCTTGAAGAATATAAGCACAACCTCCTACTCAATGAATAGAAAATCTACAAAAATATCAAGGCAATGCAAATGTATACCAATGTATTATTGTACTAATATTATAAACCTACCCTCTTTTAACAGATTCAAGAAACTGAGCATTGACTGGATCTGTGTAGGATCTCAGCTCTCCATCATCTAAGCTGAAGCCATTCCTCCACAATTTAAGCAAGATCTCAACCTATTGATAAATCATAATAATGACTTATAAATTATGATTTTGAAGACAAAAATGTTTCTACCAATACATATTGACCTGATTCTCAGTATTATAGCACTTAATTTAAAATGATCATCTGAATCCTTTAAAACTATACAATAGTTCCAATTCAGAATCTTTCTAACTATTGGGAAACAAATAGCTCTGCACAGAAATGCAGAAATTGCAGCTTGCCGAACTAGAGCACAATATTTCTAGTAAAAAGCTCTCCCTTATGATGTTAGCCACCCTTCTGCTTTTTAATGCATCACTAACTATAGCTGTGGATAGTTTTTTTCAGTATATTTCCTATCCAATTGAAAAAAGTGCTTATTTGACAAACTACTCTGCATCCAAGAATACTAGGAGCAGTAGCTTCTACTTTGTCCTTCACAAGACATTCTCTTCATGTAGGAAGACTACATGGCCCACTTTCCTCTACAATGAATCATGGCCCTCCCTTCTGCTAGTCCTGGCATTTGACATGACTATGTCTACCTGGACAGGTGGGAGACTGAATTCAACCTTAGTGCATTATAACGTTCACATATGAATTCATGATGTACATAGGGACAATTAATTAGTGCTGAAAAGCCTAGAGCAGAACTTGCTAATATAGCACAACAGGTCTCTATATTGCCATATCTATTCTTCAGGCATACTACATGTAAGTGTAGACCATAAAATGTATTTGTTTATTTGTTGTAAGAAATCAAAACAGTAAAATAAAAATAAGCTATTCAATATATTAAAAGGTTATCTACCTAATTTATCTAAATTCAAGATAGTGAGTCTTCATAATACATTTTATTTTATGGAATATAAAGTAAAATATTTTCAGTATTAAAACACCACTTTCCTAGCAAAACAGTATTCAGTCAGAATAAAATTATATTCTCAGTTGGCCAAAGGCATCCAGAAAAGGGCCCACCTCTCCCATGGCAAACAAAACTTTATCTCCTGATCTTCTTGATCAGGCAGAGAGAAATGGGAAGAATGAACATCATAAGTATCAACCTAGAACCAAGATTCTAACTTAAAACATGTAGTCAGGTCACACACAAAATAATGTACATTTATTTAGAAGAATACATTTTTCTGTGCTTTCTTTTTATGACAATCACATATTCATGTTTAAGTCTTCACTTCTCTAATATAGAATACAGAAGCACAAATACATTTAACCAAATTAGAAACATATTTAATAACCACAGAGTTTATATTTTTGTATGTATATGCAACTTAAAGTGAAGTCTACATTGAGAGAATCATATTGATTCTCTTTTAATAGGGAATTTTATTTACCATAGTTTTACTTACATCTTGACCATACTGATTTTCTCCATGTATATATTCAGAATGCTTCCGAGTAGAGTCTCCCAATCTGTATCCACCTCCAGAAAATGACTAATAAAATATTTAAAATAGAGATCTGCATTATAGTTAAGACTACTTACTTTTAACATCAACTTATACACAGTTTATGAATGGATTCTTCATTATTATTAACTGCAATTTTTTAAAATATATATGCTGGGTACTGTTAGAAATTGAAGAAAACAGTCTATTTAGTCAAATAATCTGTAAATTAGAAACAATGTCTTTAGTTGCTATAAACAAAAATAAAAAAATAAAAATCAACTGAATTCATTTTATCATTATTAAATGATAAACATATCCAAGGCTATATTTTGTGGCCAGCAACTATTGAATTTGATAGTTTATAATTAGGGACAGAACCAGGGCTTTTTTTATCATAGAACGCCCAGAACGGAGTTCCGGCACCTTTTTTGGATGGAACCTTGTAGGGTAGGCAAGGCGGGTTGTATGACGTGTGTGAGTTCCGGCACCTTTTTTTTTTTTTTTTTTTTACAAAAAAAGTACTGGACAGAACAATGCCATACTTTCCCCAAAGAAATGAGATTATGTGAAATTCATGCAATAAATGTAGATTGGATCCACTTATCATATCGAATATTTTGTAATTAAAACAACATCTGAAAACATAGTTTGCACACTCATTACAAATAAGTGGTGGTTTCATTGATAAACTGAGACCCTAATTGCTAATCTGCTTCTAGAAACTACTAGGTAAGAAGGAGTAATTTAAAATGCTGTGGTCAGATTACGTCTAGTACACAGGTAGCTCTCAACTTATGACCACAACTGGGATCAGCATCTCGGTCGTTGAACAAAGTGGTTGTTCAGGGAGATGCCCTTGTTTCTGCTTTGTTAAAAGACCAAAAGACCAGCATTCCTGGTTGCAATCATTAAGCTATCTCCCAGGTTGTTAAATGGACAAAGTGAAAGAGCTGCCTGCCAAGTTCGGCTCTCCTTTGGCCAAGGAAAAGAACTGTTCCTCTCAGCAGGCAGCAGCAGCAGCTTGCATCCTCCCCTGCTGGCTTCTGTACTTTCTGGGCAAGCCAGCCAAGAAAATTGCAAATGGCAATCACATTATTGCAGGGCATTTGGGAACTGGTCATAAGCTCACACATCCAGATTGCAATCATATGATCAGGGGATGATAGTGCAATGTTTTGCAATGGCCAGAAGGGCTTTACAGGCAATAAAGTATCCTTTCTGAGGTCGTCATAATTCCAAACAATTGTTAAACAAATGGTCATGAGTTGAGGATTATTTGTACTTTGTCCAGATTGACTGCCACAATACTAAAAAACTGAGATACTGCAAGGAATGCAGAGAAGAGTAACAAAGATGGTGAGGCTAAATCTTCTGAAGACAATTTAAAAGAACTAGGCTTGCTTAGCCAACAGAAGAGAAAGCTAAGAAATAACATGAGAACAACTTCCTATACTTGAAAGGGCTGTATAGAGCAGGGCTTTTCAACCTTTTCATCCATTGTACCACTTTTAGGATATGGCAATATCCGAGTACCACCAGTCGCCTAGCAAGGTGTCAAAAACTTGATGACCAAAAATGAAAAGGAAAAAAGTGATAAAGTACAGGGAGTCCTCGACTTACAACAGTTCGCTTAGTGACTGTTCAAAGTTACAATGGCACTGAAAAAAATGCCCCCCAAGCCACAGCTGAGCAAGACACCTGCCTGCCCGCCCAGCGGCGTTCTTCCTCCTGTCCGAGGTTTTCATTGTTGTGAGCATTTCTGTTGAGGATTGGCAGCGGAGGTGAGGGGGTGTTTGGTTTTTATTCCCCGTTTGCTGGGTGGTTGCAGCAGGTTTTGGTCACTTCACATGACCCTGGGACACTGTGACCGTCATAAATATGAATCAGTTGCCAAGCATCTGAATGTAAATCACAAGACCCTGGAGATGCTGCAACATTCCAGCTGATCAGCGCTTCTTCTGGGCCCAGCTGGAGCCTGGCACTGATCCTGGCGCTTCCACTGAGCCCTGACAGCCCTGCAGCTCCAGCCATCTCTCGCTCAGGCTTGTGCGGTGCTGCCACCAGTTCCACTTTTCTAGGATGGTCGCGTACCACCTGCCATGTGCCAATGTACCACAGGTGGTACCCGTACCACTGGTTGAAAAGCCCTGGTATAGAGAGTATAGATTTATTCTTGCTAGTGCCTGAGTATAAGATAAGAATCAACAGATGGAAGCTTTACAGACAATGATCCAAATACAAAATAAGAAGAAATTTGCTGACTATAAGAACTATTAGGCAGTAGAACAGCATGCTTCAATTCATGGGTCTTTCAAACAAAGCTCTGACAATGATTTGTCTGGGATGGTGTTCTAGGAAATGAAAATATTGGCTATTGTTTCTATGCAGGATTTAGGGCCAGGTGAACTAAATCAGGCCTCATGGAAAAAGTATTGAACCAAAGTCTGTGCTATGGTCAATTTTGCAGTCCAGGGGAACTATTTGTAATCTAAACTGCAACTGTACTTTACTCAATATAATTTTGTTAAGCTTGCTGGTCTCAAATGTGTATTTAGAACACAAGGACTGGAACTGTGAGAAATGGGGAAGTGAAAGTAGCTGATGGGTGTGGGTTCAGATGTAGATGGGTATGAGGAAAGTTATGGTCAGCAGAAAGTCTGCAGAAAGTGTAAGGTTGCTGACCATCTGCCTATAGTTTAAGATGAGTTAAGGTATAAAAGATTGAGTCTGGACATGGTTCGAGGCCACTGGCCCTAGCCGTCACTGCTATGACTGCTAGTTCAAAGCTGGTTCTCCTTGCAATGGGTTTAAGTAGGTATATGATTGCTTTGTGTTCTAAAAATAAATAAATAAACCTCTGATTCCTAAAGTGAGATGTTTGTAATGTGCTGTTGTGTCTTTTAATGGATTTTTTCCACGACAGTGTGAAGACTCCTGCCCTAATCAGGCAGTTGAATTAGCACTTCCTAATCCTTTGATTCTATGAAACAAAAATGATTAGCAATTAGGAGAGTAACCTGGGGAAAAGTTCTGATGTTTGCTGAATAGCTAAGAGATCAAACTTACACTTATATTCTACAGTTAAACTAATACAACGTATGAATTACTAAACAAAGGAAAAACATGCAAACAATTTTTAGATATATTAGCAAATATGACTATGAAATGTGGTGACTGGGTGTGCTCTTTTATATAAAACAAAAATATAAGCTAACTGATATGATTTTAATTTCATTTATATATAAATATATTTCTAGCAAATTTGAAGTTTCATCTTTCCATGCCATGGGACCAATGATGATGCTGGGTTCCATGCCAGATTGTAATGATCTTGCACTTTCTCATGAGAAAAATAATGATAACCACACTTCTATTTTACCAATCAAGTTTTACAAAGGACCATGATACCAGCATTTGCAGTTATTTATTGCTATTAAAGTGTGGCAGAAATATTAAAAGCAGAAACATTTTTTCAGTAAACTTTACCACCATTCTTGTTCTCTAGAAATATTTATCAAAATTCCTAGCCTTTTAAGTACAATTTAAGCATGATTTTAAGTTGAATCAAATCTCAACACGAACATTTTTGCATTAAAATAAATGTTCTAGAAAAATGTATATACACACTTTAGCTTTATGGCAGTCCCCTGAAGCTCTTGATACTTCATCTAAAGGAACTGCCCCATGTTCTCTTGCTTCTTTGAAAAGTTCATCAACTATTTTACTAGAGGTCATATTGCCAGATGACTCAACAATTCTGTATTCTGTATCACCTGAGTAAAATCTTTTTTTAAAAAAAAAGAAAGAACAGTATTAGTCAAAACGTTTAGATAGAAACTCAGCTTTCCAAACAGAACTGGATTTTATATGGATTCTCAAATAAAAGCAGTTAAAATACTTAAAGCAAGGGATTTTGCAATAAAATATCCTGAAAATACTGTACTAAATTTCTATGAACTCCCAGTTCTCTTATTCTCCATAATATAATAACTATACAAGGTTGATAAAAATAAGCCTTGCCTGAAGCAGTTCCTTGCTGTCTCATTCTACAGCAGTTCCTGCTAGGCTCTCAAAACTTCCTTAGGAGAAGCTGAATAGATTTTTTTTAAAAGTTCAGGGCTGTGAGTATATTTCATATACATGATTTTAGCTGGAAAAAGAATCCACTGGCAAAATGGTGGAAAGAGACGAATTGTACTGAGATGCATTTATCCCATCTGAGATGTAAATTTTATATTAAAGATATACAATGAAAGAATAAGGACTAGACAGACCATTCTATATTTATCACTAGCAAAGAAAGCCATACAGCTATGTAATGCTTTTAATTCTAATGCAAAAATAAATGCTTCAAAGTTGGCATCTGCAATTATTTAAACCAAACACAACTTTTTCAGAGATCATATGGCAGCCATAGAGCATAGTTGCACAATCCTGGGAAAAGACAAAGTTACTGTAGCAATAGCAATAACACTTAGACTTATATACTGCTTCATAGTGCTTTACAGCCCTCTCTAAGCAGTTTGCAGAGTCAGCCTATTGTCCCCAACAATCTGGGTCCTCATTCCTCATTTTACCAATCTCGACCCACTTGGAATCAAACCCCTGGAGTCAGCAGTGAGTTAGCCTGCAGTACTGCATTCTAACCACCACGCCACCATGCCTCACTGTCCACCTGTAAGGACTTTAAGGTATTCCAGACATCACTGTCCTCTCTAAAGCACTCCATTTGCTTTGAAATCTGAAGCTCTAAAAATTAAAAAATGCATTCCATCCTCGTAGAATATATTAAGGCAATGTTAAGAAATGAAGAGAAATAAATCACATAATTACTATTACGAGAGCCAGTTTGATGTAGTGATTAAGGCATGAGGAAACCAGGAGATTGTGACTTCTAGTCTGGCTTAGACATGAAGCCAGCTGGGTGACTTTGGGTCAGTCATTCTTTCTCAGCCCAACCCACCTGACAGGGTTATTGTTGTGAGAAGAATAGGAGAGAGGAGTATTAGATGTTTGCCACCTTGAGCTCTTTATAAAAATAATAAATATATGAAAATAAAATAAATATATCAAATGTTTTATTTTATAGTTGGAAACCAATAGGTGCAGTAGTGAGTATGAGGAAAGACCAAAAGAGTTTAAAGATCTTCTTTATACTTTTAAATAAGTATTAAAATAAACAAATTACCATAGTAGTTAGAGAATAAGGTAACATAACGTTTTTCGGGGGATTAGAAACGTGAAAGGATTGACAACAAATTTTAAATATCAAATATTTTGGATTAAATTGATACAGAACTTAAATAAATACATCAGTCAATAGCAAATTTATAGCATAGTCATTCATTAATTTCAGCAGAGTTAATATAAAAGCTTTATGGTAGTCAAATGATTTCCTAAATAAAACACAATTACTCTTACTACAAACATATTCATGTTCATTTAAAAATAAGTTACCCCATGTTTAATAGTCTTTACTCTCATATAAATAAGCACAATTTATACCCACAATATTAAATATATTTCAATATCAAGAAATATTCATTTAAATGCTTGTCAATATCAATATATCTATGTTTATAGGAACTATCACAATCATTTCAAAGTATTCTATCTTTCAATAGCTACAATGAACATTTTTTATACCTTTGAACTGGTAATCGGGGATGACTGGCAACTCTAGCTGTTGGTCTGCCTGAATGTGGTGGTTGTCTTTTAATTTCATCTTCATATAATCCAGCCAGTGCCAGCTACACAGAATATATGGATTAATCAGTGTCTATTGATCCAAAAAATAAAGTAGTACGAGCTATTTTCAATTTCAGGGGTTGGTGGGAAGGAACAGTACAGATAAGTAGTTGAGCACTGACAGTTATTTTTTCTTCATTAAAATCTCATAACTGACGAACAATATTTACCAACTGAATACTTCTTAATATGGATGTTGTTAACATACTATTTTACTACCAACCTAAAATGGCAAAGTAAGATTAAAGGCAGTGAGTAGAACAAGCTCACACTAGATAGTGATTCATTTTCCGGAGCTTTGCTGAACTACAAGTTTTCTGTTTCTTCAACATTGGCAATGGGGCATATGTGCTTTCCATGGTACGGACACAGTCAAGTTCCATTATCTAGAATCAGTGGAACTTGGAATTATATACAAGATTATCCTAAGCTAAACATATGCTACAGCTCATATAAGATGACAGCAAACATTTAAATTTTGTCAAATTGATAAGATGATTGATGCTATGATTAAAAATTATAGAATATAGTCTCACTAATATTAAAGCACATACATAAATTTCACTAATATTTCAGCACATCTCCCTTTTTCAAGATCTATATGTAATATTCTAAGTATGTGGAAGAAATAAAGCTCCATATGTACAATGTATATATGAATAGACTGGTGCTATTACTATTGCTGACTTGATGACGAATCTTTCTCACTCTTTGAAAGCAAAATCTTCGTGTCCCCCCCCAAAAAAATACCAGGAAAAGAAAACATGCCATCGATAAACGCCAGCTAAGCTAATGGTCCCCAGATCCGTTAAATAATTCAAAGGCATCTACTCAAAAAGGCAGCTTTCAATTTGTGCTTTCCAGTAAGGATCACTCCACTTTCCCTTGATCATAACATCGCCGCCGCTTCACTTTCTGAAGCGGAGCAAGTATCACGGGGGGAACCGACACTGCCAAGCCTCTGCTCCCAACCCTCATCATCTCTCCCTCCATCCTCTACCTGCAGATCCCGAACGGTGGGAGGCCGTCCGCTTGAACGGGGTCCTTTCTGCCGCTCAAGGCCACTCGGCCCGCCTGTTGCTCCTGCTTCCTCCGGTTCGTCCTGCCGTTTCCCGTCCGTTATCCCGTCGTCCGCCATCTTCGACAGGAAAGGAGCGGCTCCTGAGAGCCCGAACTACACAGATGCTCGAAGAGATGGGCGGAATCCTTGAGGAATTCTTCCGGCAGCAAGGGTTGCCGTGGCAACGAGGTCTTAAAGGAGGACCGCTTGGCACGCCCGGCCCCCAAACCTAGCTCGCTCCCTCTTCTGCGATTTTGCGCATGCGCATATTAGTGGGTTTCTCTTTCTCCGAGATTATGGAGGGAAGGGGGCCAGTATAATGCTTCCATCTGGTTAAATAAAGGGTTATTTTTCTGCGTAAATCTGAAATAATTCGGTCCCATGTTGACACTTGCTAGATTCTTTTACTACCCCTTCCCAGTAAAGACAACCTTTATTTTGCCGTAATGAAGAGCAGTTAAAAAGAGCAGTGCGGCAACGGTCCACTAGGAGTAAATGCCATTACCTCCATTTCATTATTTCGTTTTTTGTGCTGTTCCGTGAATCACTGAGTTATATGACCGTGGGGCTAACTTTCATTCATTCAAATAAGTAATCACTCATTCAGAAATGTGTGTGGATAGTACGATTGGGGCTATATACGTGAGGACAAAAAAGCCAGAATCCCAATGTATTACCTTTTTCTCTTTTTCACATATTTTACTGCCATGTATTCAAAGCTACGTCAAAAAGATGGGCTTGCAGGTCATGCTGAATGAGCCTTAATTGGATGAGCTTAGATAAAACTTATTTTATGCTGGCTGGATTTACACAGTTCACTAAGTGCAAACCAAAATATATTATGCCTTGTTGCAATATGTATAAATGCAGGATAAAGGAAATTCACTGAAATAGACACCTTGCTCCTATCTAAATAGGTGAGCATGGAGAAAGCTGATAAAGGATTGGTAAGATGGGGTAATGTTGTGTATACCTCATAATTTTATCTGCAGCACAACATCATTTCTGCTGTTTTAGTAATTCCCTGCCAATCATCCAGTTTGGATAAGATTCAACACTTCTCACATTGCCAGTAGTCCTGCCTGGGAGTGTTGCTATTAAAAGCAGCAGAGTGTGGAGATGGAAAAGGACAACGGACTGCATGCAATGGTTCATGAGGCTAGGAACATACTTGATCATCAGATTTCTAATAAAATAATTTCAGGAAGGACAAATAGTGAAATTTGCCATCAGCACTCCGTTATATCTTATTCAGAGTCGGTGTGTCTAATTAGAGGTCTAATTGGTCCTTTTGTATGCATCTGAAACAAAGCCAATAAAAATGGTCCTTCCCAAGAAGGAATGGGGGAGNGGGAGGGAGGGGGAGAAAGCAGCAATTTCTACCACTGCTGGAACAGTGAGGAGAATGGGAGGATGCAGATCCTTCACTACTAGGGGCAATTCCTGATCTTATATCTGCAGTTGCCCTCATTACAGTGGGGTCTGGCAGAAGTATTATTGAACAAATGTAAAGAAATCACTGTTGTGATTTAGAGATTAGAAGTTACCAATAGAGAATATCAGTGTCACATAAGGTTCATATCCCAATTGGATCCTCAAAAATAAGTCAGAAGGATGAAGCCTTGTTCAATTTTGCAGCGAAAGGGAAATGTTCTCATAGACACAGAGCATTGTGGCTGGATGGGAGCATGTGGACGTGTGGTGAATCAGCTGGAACCTTGCAGGTCCAGAACCCTTATGTCCCTAGCTGCCTTCAGCCATGTGACTCAGAATGTTTGCCTAATGTTTTGGAGAATTGTATGGGAGGACATGTCGCTGATGACCAGTAAGAGTCACTTGTTGAGATGGGCAGTTATAGAAATACAATAAATACATAAGGCCATTGGGGACCTGGGACAAGCCATCTTTTTGAACAACCTCTGCCCCTGTTTATCAAAACACCTGCTAGAAACTATAAGAATGAAACTAGGAGAAACTGTCTTAAGACTGAAAACTGAAAAGGTCCTGGGAAAAAATAGAAGATGGTGGGAAACAGGAGTTTCAACCACACTAATAGGAAGTGGAGAGGGGTGCCAGCTGTAGACTGAATTACAAATGAGTGGAGAGATGGAAGTAATATTGTTATATTACTTGAAGACTGCTGATATATTGGTAAACTTTCAAATTACATGTCACATTTTCCCCCTTCTCCCCCTTTTAAAAGAAAAAAAGACCTAATTACAAATACACTCTGGAATAAAAATCTACACAGCTGTTTTATCTTTGTATATAAAAATCCCCAGTATAAATATGAATAAAGTCATGGAAAGATTGACTTTTACTCTACCTACTCATTATCAATGGCTATTGTATGGGAAACATTTATAACAATTGAACCAGATTAGATCTTGTCTTTCCTTGGATGCCATATTCATTTGGGATATATTTACTGCTGTCTTGCTCACTGCTTGATTTTGAATTCATTTAATTACAAACAAAAAGCATTTCAGCCTCAGGTTTACACAACTGACTCTGTTTTGTGTTAGGGTTAGTATTTTGGGTTGACTGCTGTATCATGGCAAAAAGCTGTCTTGTTGACTCACATTTTACATGGTTGTGTTCCCTTGTCAATATCTTGTAAAGCTTTATAATTTTTTTATGAATTCTTCACTTGTAGTTTTGCAGAAAGTGGAATTCTGCCAAATTACCATCAGTAATCCAGTAAGCAGAAAACCTATGCATATTGTCTTCAGGGGCAATCTTGCTCTCATATTTTTACCGTTTGTATTTTCTTAGCATGCTGCTCCTTTTCTGGTTTCCTTTCTTCAGTCGTTTTGTTTCCATTGTATAAGTATATATAAATCAGGTACAACCATTTCATTCTGGAGTAACTGTTTGGCGGAGTCACTTTGTACAGGCTTCTAAAATTCTTTATCTGTTGAAAACTAGTGGTTGTGTTTGTATTATATACTTTCCCATGGTTACATTTAATTAATCTGCTTTTAAGGCGGCTTTGACACCTTGAACATAAATCAATCATGTTAATTGAATTTGTACAATGTACTAGTCTAAAACATAGCACTTGCTAGCTTGAGGCTTAATGTGACATGAAAACACAGCCAATACTTTCTTGGATCTGATTTGTCCCTGTCTTGTTTTATGTGATGCTAAGTATCTATACGTGCCTCTTTGCTTCCCAAGCTAAAGTTCCCATCATTAATTTCATTAACTTTGTTAAATATTTTGTTATGAAAAGAGGGAGCACAAAACTTTCAGAAACATGGGGACACTTACATTTTCAATTCCATGTGTGAAATCCCTGCAGAGGGAGACAAAGGATTATAATTGTCATTTACAGCCAACAACATAGTGTTTTCTCTCCACTAATATGGATGGATTCTAATAGAATATGACAGCAATATAGAAATACTGCACTACAATTTCCGCTGACTATTGTACCAGAATAGCAAGTGTTTGCTGTATAGAAAAACGCAATGAGCTCTAAATTTATGAAAATTTTAATTCAATGTGTTAATCTTTAAAGTGCCCCTGAGGTGCCAGTTTCAGTAATTCAGCAATTCTCTTATACAGGCATATATGGAAATAAAGACTCACTATTGCTGGAAGAATAGTTGTTTCACTGTGATATATAATTATAAAACATTTTCACTCAGTGAAAATGTTTATTTAACAGACTTCCGTTTAGGAATCGTCAGTAGGTGGTGCTAAAATACATTTAATTTTGTTGCAGAAAGTATGTCTACAATTTTTCTTTCACAAGATTTCCTATAGCTCTTGAACATTCAGAAATTGTATATATATATAGCAAATCAGTGTTTTGAATGCTGAGCAGTCAAGAATGTGCTCTGTCAGTTTTGAAGAGCAATTTTTACTGGAAAAAAATCATTCTTTTTGATAGCTCTATCAGGAAATCTTGAGTGTTCCACCTAGAATTTTGCTATCAGTAACAAGAAGTCTAATTTGTATAGTATAATGTGCAGTTTCTTCCTATAGTAGCACAGTGATGGCATTTTTTTTCATCTTCTAGAATGAGTGGTTATTTTATTTGTACCTCAAATCTCTTTTTATTTCTAAGCTTTGTCCCGAAAGTACATTATAAATCAGTATTGAAGCTTAGAGGATGTTGTGGGACAATATTTTGGTCAAACTGTGCAATCTATTCCAAATTATTTTTGCATGAACTGTTTGATAACTCTAGAGTAATTTACAATTTTGAAAGTTATACAGTCATGTAATTTCATCCACTTTGCCACAATTTTCAATTTACAATTAAGGTTTATGTTTTTCCCCCAAAAAGCAAATTCTTCTTCGCTGAAAATAACACTGGCCAGTTATGATAACTGTAATATTGATTGATCTATGGTCTGCATCAGCTTCACAAGTCATATATTTTAACATTTTTTCAGTGCTAGGATTGAACTGTATTTGGAAAATTACCTAGTAATAAGTGACAACATACTTGATATGTAATTTTATTTGTTCTAAAATAGTAGTGACCTGCACATTACAAAATGCAGGTGCAAAGAAAAGTGTTAATATGAACTCCATGCTGATTAAACTAGATGAAGTAGCTCTGGCCAAAGTCCAGAGACAGTGCACTGCCTATTCTTTCCACATAGCCATTTGCTTTTGTTATTGAGGAAATCCTTCCTAATTCACCATTTCCAGACCCAAAGCTTTTGAATCTATGATCCAGTAATATTTCCCAGGAATCCCTTTCTCTCCCTTCAAGATATGCAGCCTTAAATAGTTTATCTTGGAAATTTCTTTTCAATATGATACTGCTCAGCAATCTCTATGACGAACACCTTCTAATCATATTTTAACTATCATTCTTAAGTATTCCATGTAACATTTGTTTTGCTTGTTTCAGTTTGACAATATTTTTATTTTATACTATCCTCCTAGCCTCCTAAATATTTACGAAACTTAAGCAAACCTGAACAATTTATATAATGGATACATTCCATAAGGAATAAATTTATCTACTGGCAACATCAAGATTTTTTTTCTCATTCAAAAATGCTTATGATTGCTTTTTTAAAAATAGGAAGAAAATAGTTCACCACAATCTAGGC